ATTGCATCAACTGATTGAACAACATGGCAGAACGAAACAAACATAAGATACTAATAACATAAAGAAGCAATGGATGACATTTATGTCACCGTTACCATTTCTGCTATCTGATGGCACAATCGTGTTCTGCATTGCAGAAAACACCTCCGCTGCGTTGAGGATGGGTGGAAGGGTGGAATCGCTTGTGGCAACAAGGGAGATGTTGTAGTGAGTGGGTGCTGAAGTAGGGTTTGTGCTGTATACAGCGCTGGAAGAAAGGTAGTCCGGGGTGAAGGGTTTGGCATCATTCAGCAGGGTTCCTCCGAGGTAGACGAAGAACTGCCTCGATTCATTCTGGAGCAGTGGCTCCAGCTCGGAGAAGTGTAGGACTGCATAGTATTCATCGAGGCCTCCAGGTTCTGTTGCCAAACTGAGTGCCAGTTTGGTGGAGTTCACAGGGACAACTGCAGTCTTCATGACGACATGAGGTGCCTCAAAGTGATCATCCACATGATTTTCGACTGTGAGATTAGTCGATGTCTTTGTCAAAGAGGTTGTGTCATTAAATGGATTCCAGAAGCGATCATGGGGATCGGAAGGAAACCTGTTATGTTATCAGGCGAAAAAAAAGATCAATCTCAAATGGATCAATAGCTATGCTTATGGATCTCATGTTACTGACCTCACGTAATCATCTGTCAGCCCCATGTCAAACCGCGACGAGAGAATGAGACTGAGAGATGCGTTCACGACTGGATAAAGAGTGCGGTTGAGCGGTCTCAGCTCTAGCGAAGAGATGAAGGGAGTTCCACGGCCAGTGTTCACAAGGCAAACTGATATCAGATCGGTTGTGGCTTCCATGATAGTTTCTGTGTAATACCTCCTCGATCTGCTGGTCACAGTCATCGTCTTCCAAAAGTTGACGTCAAAATGGAGATCAAACTGAACCGAAGAACTGTTTTTGGAATCATAGTTGCCATATAAGAATGATGCCCTGATGAGATACTTAAGCCGTGGGGTTATTGACTTGAAGGTGTAGCAGTTCCGAGCTCCACTAGGGAAGCTTCTCACGGTGAGGAATCGCTGAGGGAGCGTTACTGATGCGTATACTGAGGATATGTTATGAGTCTCGCCACTGTCCGTGTAAGGAGCATCAGAGACGTATGTTATACCGGATAATGGCCCCACGTAATATGCTTGAGCATCACGTCCATATCCACAATCAAGGCTGATAAAACCTGGGAAGAGATATATGAAATGTGTTTGAGTAGAGAAGAGGCAGTAGGAAGAAGAAAAGGCATGAGAGTAGTTGACACAGTTTACAACAACAATATACATCAAGCCTAGAGCATCTATATGTTCATTGAAATATGTATATTATATTATGATACAGAAATATGATATATGAAATATATGTTCATTGAAATATGTATATTATATTATGATACAGAAATATGATATATGAAATATATGTTTCCTGTAAGAGAGAAATATATGGATACATTTAGTCTAATTGTAAAACCAATTATCATTCGAATTGTTGTTGCTATTGCTATTTCTTGTAATTGATCATTAAGACATTTGTTAATATCTTAAATAAGGGATGATCACAATCAATTAGCCTCTTATGTATGAAACCAATAGGTGAATGATTGTAGAGAAATTAGTAGAGGGATTATTTTCGTAGATGGTACAAACATAATAATTTAAAGATTATTCTTTTATACCTATGTTATAGAGTAAAACTATTTCTTCTATCAAATTTCTTGAGAATAACGGATGGACGATATTTTTATTAGGGAGAGAAAAAAGACTTTGAAATAAAAAAATTAATATCAATAATAAAAAAATATATCAAAAAAGTCAATACAATATTAATGTGAATCGATAATTCTCTATTTATATTAAAAAATTATTTTTTATTATATAATAAATTTAATATACAAAATTATTTTATCTTGATTTAACTTAAACCCCTAATATACTCTCTGATGTAGACTTGAAACAATTCTTTTTTCAATCCACTAAAAAAAACTCGGATGGTATTCCATCTCTTCCTCTCACTAGAACATTAAAACTTATGATCTATCCATAGGAATAAATCTTATTTATTAGGAATTATTCTTCTTCCTTAATAATCCAAAATCTAATTAAGTCTCCTAAGATAATTACCAACCCCAACACTCTACACATCAACCCAACAAACGAAAATTTCTGTAGATCGATGTACGAAAGGGCCTCTCGTAGATGATATCTGAGGTGCTCCCATAATTGATATTAGTTACAAATCCTATTTCCGTAGATGATCTATGTTTCATCAGACTGTCAGATCCATGTTTCACTACTGCTATCTACAGGAAGATGTCTTATTTGAACAGGTCCTGTAAACAATTGCATGGAAAACCTACATTCGAAGAACATGGTATTGAAAGAAGGTAAACGGGAAGCAAGATAGGATTACTTACCGAGACCGTCCGAAAACTGACCTCCAACTTGACCAGCGAGCAGGGAGAACGACAGAAGAATCGAACATGGGATGACGGCCATGTTCCTCGACCTGAAGCATCCCCTTCCCATGGCCAGTTTCTTCATCTGGAGGAAGGTTTTTCCCACACAAGCAGCAGGCGAACGGATCAGTCAAACTTGCACATACCGATGTCCCGAGTAATCAAATCCTTGGGGCCATGGCATCCCACCAACTAACAAGTCTCCAGTAATCATGTCACATCGCAAAGCTGGATCCCAGTTTAAGGCATTTTGCTGCACCAACTCGTCCTGGGAGAGCCTAATAAGCTCTTCGGAGATATCAAAAGCCGAAGACTCGAATCACCTTTCTTTTCTGCATCAGCTACTTCTCTTTCTTTCTTTCTTCCGTACTGTGACTAATCCGCGGGAAAAATATATGAATATAATGGTCAGAAACCTGCCGAAGAATTTGTACGTAAAGTGGGTGGCAAGTATCATTCAGACTTGAAAGAGTTAGGTTGGGTTGACTGACTCTTCATGACGTGCGTCGTGAGCTCGATGAGACGCAGTCGTCGGTAAGCTTTATGGATTGCAATCTAGCCAATACCATGCTTTAGAACAAGGAAGAGATTATGGCTGCCAACTCAAATGTAGTTGACTACTGACAACAGGTATTAAAACAACAGCAACATGCACAGATTGAAAAGAAAATATGGTTTCTTATTTGTTGTTGTTGTTGAAAAGTTCCTCCATGCATTTAGTTTTCCAAAATCTTATAGTCGCAGTGAGATATTTGACATCTATACATGGAGAAAGATGAAGCTGATACATACAATGAGAACTGCATCCAACTCGAGCGCTCAATCTATTGACTAGTCAAATACCACTGGCAAAACCAATCATTATCTGCACTAATTATTAAGGAGGAAAACATAATGGGATTAAGATATTCAATATGGACCATCGGATACTGATAAAAAAATTAATTTTCTCTCTCTTCCTTTTTTTTTTCGCTGGTGCTTTAATATAAGAAAAGAATATTTTACTCTTACACAACTGTTATCTTTCTCTTTATATTTAAATACCATAATGACCCAAACTCTAAAATTTTATATTTATATATATACATGTATGTATGTATATATATATATATATATATATATATATATATATATATATATATATATATATAAAAAGGATGGATCGGTTTATCGATCCATAGGGTGAGTGAATCATTTATAGTATTTAGGGTTAGAAGTTAATTTAGGTGATTTACAATATTTTCAAGTAGGCATTATAGTATTTTTATTATGATGGTCAAAACACTATAATAGACTAATTTTTTATCCTTATTTTGGTGATGTTCATCCTAAATTATTATATATACTTATTTAAATCCTAATATGGCATATCAAGTGATTTCTAATGTGTTTTGATTCCATTTGAGTTAATTGTACTATTTTTTAATAACATTATATTATTTTTATTGATGTATTAAAAATATTGTAAGTGACATCATGTCATACTTCTTTAGTTATTGTTGCTTATATACTATTACAATACTAATTTTATATATATATATTTGATTTGATCGAGTCTATGAGTATTTTTTATCATTTAAAATATTTTTAAATAGATTTTATAGTATCATTATTGTGGTGACTAAAATATTATAGCAAGTTAATTTTTTATCCCCATTTGGATTATCAAATTACTATGCAAACTCTATGAATTTTATTGTATAGATCGATCCATCCATTTGGATGAATCCATAAAGTGTCTCTGAAACTAATGAAAAAGATATCAATGGGATAATAATTGATATTATTTAAAATAAAAATATAGTTTGAAAAAAAAATGAACTCCTTTGGTAAAAACAAACTCTTTTCAAACAAATAGTCAATATATATATATATATATATATATATATATATATATATATATATATATATATCGGGAGCACACGAGGACATACACGAATTACACGTTGACATGAGCACGGGTTGACCAGAGGTGGTCCCCACGGCCTCTTTCGGGTACATATGGCGCCTGTCCTGTTGGCGAGGAGGATGACCGATGAGTTCTTGCGAACACGTCGGTCCTACGGACGATCCGTGCTTCCGTCGTAGTCCTCCCTCCATATCAATGGAGTCGAGCATTCCATTTGGAGGGGGGAGAGGCGACAGTGTCCGAGACGAGGGGGCGCTTCATCAGCTTCACGACGAAGGCTTCAGTTTGGTACTGCTTCCTCCTTCTGGGCTTTGCCATCGCCGCCGTTGCAGTTCACTCAGTCCACGGACGCTCTTGGTATGAAGCTGCCCCTATCTGCTCGAAATGGCAAACCACCGCCGTTATCTTACCTCACGCTGAAGTTTAGTTTCTTGACTGTGAAGAAAGCGCAAATCTAAAATGGGTTGACCAATAAGAGTCATCTCCCAATGATCTCTCTCTCTCTCTCGGAGCGTTCATAAGCATTGACTGCGGCATCGCCCCCGATTCCACCTACACCAATTCCAAGGCCAACATAATGGCATAAACCGAAACATCTCCGCCGCAGACGTTTCCTCCAGCATGGGAAGGCGATGGCTGAGCCTCAAAGCTTTCCCGATGGCACTCGCAATTGCTACACGATCAAGCCCGGGGCTCCAAGTACCTGCTGCGGGCGTGGTTCATGTACGGAAACTACGATGGCTTCAACAACCAGTCGCTCCGCTTCGACCTCCACCTCGGAGTCAACTTTTGGGCGACACAATATCACCGACCCCGGCAGCTTTGTCACGCTCGAAGCCATCACCGTGGCCTCGGCTGATTTCCTCTGGGTGTGCCTGGTGAACACGGGATACGGAACTCCGTTCATATCCGCGCTCGAGGCGAGGCCATTGAAGGACAACCTTTACCCGGCCGCGAACGCCTCCCGTAGTCTGGTCCCTTTCAAACGGATTAACCTACGAGCAGGAGATGCGTACATTAGGTGAGCAGATGATGCTTTCGATGTCATCCTTCGTAGCAGCAGAACGGTCGACGGCTAAACGTTCTGCAGGTATCCGGACGACCCGCATGACTGCCGCGACCCCCGCAACTCCACCAAGATCGACTTCTCCTGGGATCCGTACCCCGGGGACGTCAACGAGTACTATCTCATCTTGCACTTTTCCGAGCTCTCCATCCTCACCGGGACCGACACGTCGCGGCAGTTTAACGTCTACGTAAAAGGGTACCGGTGGCTGAGATCATCCCGTGACCCCGCCTTACCTGAAATCAGACTACGTGTATAGCAGTGAGCCCGTCGAGAGATCCCATAGGTACAACATCACCCTCGAGGCACTGAGCAACTCCACCCTTCCGCCGATCATCAACGTCGTCGAGATCTACTCGAGGATGAACGACGCCAATGCACCGTCTGATGCTGGGGACGGTACGACGCGACTTTCCCTCTTTTGTTTTGCTTTCTTGCGCTAGGCTATGAAGCCAAAAAGTTATGCCTCTCAAGTGCTTGATATAATGTCCCTGAAAACGATCGAAACAAAATGAAAAAATGAAGCCCGTTTGTCATAAAAGCATAATAAGAGCTTTATAATTCTTTTGCTTCAGTCTGTTCCTCAAGTTTGAAGCCTTTATCACTAATAATTTAAAATCAATGAAGCACAATTTTGGATTAAAACACTGAACTAAATGAACCCAGAATTTTCTTCAGTTAAATTACACATTGTTCACAGATATGCTATATATCATATATTCGAATATCAATCCTTGATCCCATTATTTCGAGGGTCATCAATGTAAAGAAAGGATAAATATATTGATGTTGGAGGCATTTACAGAGCAGGATAATACTGGTTGGGGTTAAGAGGTATCCATGATGGGAAGAAGAATTAGCACATGAATATGTGACTCAATTCTATTGGTTTCTTTGTTTGGTAGGTTATATGCACTTTGCTCACATGCCAACATAGGTTTCTTTTTCTATTCTTATCAAACAGCTTTTAAGAATTGAAATAACTTATTTATACTCTCCTCTGAGTTGGTCATTGTATCAGTTAATGCCATGATGATGATCGAAGCTTGGTATAAGATCAAGAGGAATTGGATGGGAGATCCATGTTCTCCAAAGATTCAGCATCTTGAATCATCCAAGGATCACTACTCTGTGAGTTTCTTTAAGAGAGAGTTGTATCAAAATTAAGCTATAGATCATGAATGCATTGCTATTACATCCCGAGAATGTATAACATAATGTATTTACCAGTTGAAATATTCTGCAGGAATCTATCATCAAGTGGATTAACTGGTGAAATAAATAAGTCTTTTGCCAGCCTTGGTGCAATTGATACCTGTAAGGCTACTGATCTCAAGCTAATTTCTTTTCTTTTTCTTGGCAAAGCCATCGAACATGGTAAACAATCATTAGCCTTTATTGGAGCCAATGCTGAGTTCCATGTAGAGGCCAGGCATCTGTTCTGAAATCATGCACATCTATGAGTCCCATACATGAATAAAAGAGTTGAGAGTAATTAATAACATGAGATGACTCAATTAGGGATTTATTGGACCTAAGTTGGGGTTGTTTTGGGTCAAGTGGAATGCTCATTCGGTGACCCAAGGTTAGATGGAACCATATGAGTTGGAAAAGTCAAAAGCATACTTTTTCAAGCTATCAAGCGGTGGCACCGCCCAAACACTATCTCCTAGACTATGTCAAACGATGGAACCTCCAATCTAGGTGATGGTATCGTCTAATGTTAGTGTTGTTGGCAGTAGTACCGTTAGGACCCAGGAAATCCATGATGAGACATTTTTTTGCTCCATTTTTGAAGTCATTTGGGGTCTATAAATACCTCATCATTTTCTACTTAGTAAAATATAAAATTAAGTAGAAAATAAAAAATATATATACTTAAAAAAAATTATAATCTCTCTAAAGTTAGTGAGTCTCTTTCTCCTAGAGTTAGAAGGTTTCTAAAGGATGAGTGAAGTCTAAAAGATAGAGGTGTAAAAGTTCTCTCTTAAGCCTATGAAAAGGAGAAAGAGTTGTAAGGATAGTTGATCTTCGCCCATTGGAAAGAAGATCAGTAGTGAAAGCCAATGACCTCGAATGAAGAGGAATCAAGAGTGGACATAGATCGGGACGACCGAACTATTATAAAATCTAGTTTGCATTGCAAACTGATTTCTTACTCTCACGATGTTCATTATCCTTTCGTATATTTTTAAGTTAAACATCTTTTCAATACGATTTTATTGAACGAAGTTTCCGTTATGAAAGCACTAATTCACCTCCTCTTAATGCCAATTTCAATTGTAAAAGTATATTCATATTAAAAATTATTATCGAGTAAAATTGATGGGCCGCTTGATTTCTTAAGATTACTAATTTTTTTCTTCATTTATATCTTAATTTTAAAATGATATTGAAGAGAATTAAAATTATGCTATTAGGTGGTTTTGTGACTATAATAGAATTGAAAGTTAAATTTATGATAAGATTCAGTGACTACTACATGAAATTAGAAACATCGACGTGTACAATCTATGCCAAAAGAAATAAATCAATTAGAGTCCCGAAAAAGATGCGATGTCATTGTCATTCGGCACCTGAGCTCTCATAGATGTGGACTTCACATGTTCATCCGTATTAGCTTTGGCAGCAGGTTGGTTTCAATGTCTTCATCCAATGGCTCGGAAATGCACTTAAATGTGCTTCTAAAAATATATTCTTTAGGTCTCAACTCATCGTCATTCTCCTTAGCAATCTCATAATCTAATCACTGTCACATGGTTACACCAAAATTTTATGAGATTTATAATTAAGATTTTTGGTTTAGTGGTGATGTATCAATTCATTCGTAATCTAATTCAGTAAAATTCACATATAAAATATTAATTTAATGGTGATGATTCATTAATGATTAGAAAATGCCTGCCAACTCAGGTCCACATTCATGTCAGCACTCATATCTAACATGTCCTTACATCGATAATCTCCTAACCATCAAAGTAAGAACCCTTATATATGAACAACGATTGAACCTTTTTCATTAAATATGAGCAAGTAATCAAAATATTTTTTAATAATTAGTAAATATTTTAACTATTAATAGAAAATTCCTATGATTTAATAATTAATAAAAAAAATTATGAGATTTGAATTTTGATAAGAGGGTCTGAAATATACGAATGAATGTCAAGTAATCACCAATAATCGTACCAACTCGGATGCCTCGTTAGTTTAACACATCGATCGAACTTCTCATCAAACTAGTATGACACCGATAATCAAACTTTGAAAAGTTGGTGTTTGAAAAGATAATTCTATTTTTACTTTCAGGTGCACTTTGTCCTTATGGTGATGGATTAATCTTTTCACCAAGTTTGCTCGAATATAGATTTCTCGAGTCAACTCTTCAAATGATCAATCGGGTTGGAAGAGCTTATCACCTTATATTGGCTGACTTCGTAGCAGAGCTAACTTGCTAAAAAAAAAATGATGCACAAGATTCTCAACTCTACGGAGTCGATTTGATTCTTAAAATCTCAAAGTGAAAAATCTTTAAGTATACAACTATATATGAGCTTCAAGTTACTAATAATGAGATTTAATACGGAGCATTGCTCATTGAGCTTCTTCTTTGTAAATATTTCTCAATAACCAACTTGATAGTCTATAGCGCTTCACAATTGATAATGTATCAAATCAATCATAGTTATGAAGCCGTGAGACCCTATCATAAAAAAATTTCTAACTTAATGTAATGCAAGTATATCGAGAAAAAGATTCTAATGTGGATGCACTATTGAAGCATACACTCTCGTCAACTAATTATATATTACCCCTTGCAATTAGCTATCTTTAGTATCTTAATTTTTATGTTTTCAAAAGTTATATTAGAATCTCTATATTTATAAAAGTAAAATATTTAACTTTGTTTCCCCTCATGTCCTAATAAAAATACCACACGTGCTCAATAATAAATCAAAGTGAGGCAGAGTCAGCACATATTCAGTAGTAAACCCTATGATATTTCTATCAGCATAATAGACAAAGTAAGGAGAAACAAAGTTAAATATTTCACTTTCTATAACTAATTATACGAGGTAATATATAATTAGCCCCACTCTTATGGTTAAGCCCATTTGAATATATAACAGTCAATTATTTAATTATTAGATGATGGCTTAAAAAATCTAAGGAATACAAATTTAGTACTATCTAATCCATGATTATTTATAACACACATCTTATACTCAATATCTAGGTTTCCTTGAATAATGTGATAGTAACAAATATTTCTTTAACAATATCTAATTATAAGTTATTAAATGATACGATGAATAAAAATTTACTATTTTAGATACAATAGTGCCCATAATAAGGAACTTGTAAAATGAATATAAACAAATAATACTAAAATATACTATTTTAGTACTATATAATCTTTTTACTATTTATCATAAAAAGATTCGTTTTTCAGCTTCACTTTAATTGTTATTTGAACAAAAAGATATAAACAATCATTTCAAATCCAAAGGTTAATTGTACTTTGACAACTTTAGGAGCTGTCAAATTTTTTCCTGTGTTTGTTAATATAATCTTTATGATTTTTCCTAAATTTACCCCTTTTTTTTGTCTTAGTGGTAATCAATGAAAATATATTCTGAATGTTAGCACATGATAATTTATGACTATCCCCTCAGACAAATGTATTCGTTGAGGTGTTGATTTCTAAGCTCAATTACAAGCCGACAGAGTGCAGCCCAAACTTAGCACGGCCGCGTTCGATCGGCGAGTCCGTCCGCGTTGCGGGTGCCGACCCGTTTGTCCGATTCCAGCGACCCTCTTGAATCGCTCTCAATGCGGTTCACCAACTCGGTCGGTGGCCGCGCACCTAACCCCATCGCGCCGATCCAAACGTCCTCACGCGGATTACTTGTTTTAGCGGTTGGAAAGAGGCGCGTCACAGTGTCTCGATGCGGGCAACGGACACCAAACCGTCTCGGCGCCCGCCACCCCATCGCGCCTTTTGGCTCCATCGACGCGGCGTCATCTTCCCCTAATTGGCCACCTGGGTCGTGACGTGACGTTGACGGGCTCGCCGTCGTCTGGGGGGCCCCACAGGATATCCTGCTTGACGTGGCGGATCCACTGCTGTGGTTCTTCCCCTGCTTTTTCTCCGCGTCGGGGGCCCACCGGGTGGTATCGGTGGGCGCCCAGAATTGACCGTACTGCGCCGGTTTCAGAAAGCGCCCTACTCGATGCCGCTTGATCTGGATCGGACGGTCAACCGAGCGAGGTACCAGTTTGGGAAGGTCGTACGTAGAACCCGCGATCACGTCGAAATTATCCTGCACCAGGATATCTCGACCGTGGATTGATCTCGCGGAGCAAAGTTCTCCTTGTAATTATTGCGGTGGATTGGGTTAATTAGTGTGTTCCCGGGAAGGTGGCGTCGTTTCGGGGGGATGGATCGGTATTTTCATAAGCCACTCCCTCCGCCCGTTGTCCGTCACCGGGCTCGTCCGTCCTCGTCGGCCCCGGTTTGCCGCGTGGTTCGAGCGATTTTATCTCCTTTTCTCCAAGTTTCTCCGCGGATTCTCTATCCGTAGTCGAGTCCCTCTCTCTCCGAACTCCCGATCGAGGTACCTTCTGCTTGTCGCCGTTGAAATCTCAGTTTATAACTCTGCGATAGTAGTTGTCGAGCGTTTGTCTAGAGCCGAGCCTTGGATATCTCGATCGAAGAAGGGTTCCAATTTGTGTGTACGATCATGAGTACCAATGAGTTCGGTGATGCGGGATCGGGGGCTTCTGGCGACCGCCAGATCGCCAGTTCTAGGACGAAGAAGGCGTTGGTGGGAGCGGGAGCTCGGATTCTTTTCTACCCCACCCTCGTATACAATGTCGTTCGGAACAAGATGCAGGCTGAGTTCCGATGGTGGGATGAGATCGATCAGGTAGCTATTTTCTTTTCTTTAAACACATCTTGATATTTGTGGACTGTTTTCCTGCTTCGAGATTCAGTTTTGAAGCAACTACAGTGGCCACAATTTGGTACCCTTAGTGTCATAAAAACGCTATCTTTTCACAAAATCGGCAATTATGAATTTGAAATTCTTAGCTCTGTTGGGTTGTGTTATATGAGTTTGGGATTTTGGATATGGCTTTTCGTTCGTACTTGAAGGATATTGATATTCTGAGCTTTTGATACTCTTTGTGGTTTTGCTCTGTGTGTTTTCAGTTCGTACTGTTGGGTGCTGTACCATTTCCCAAAGACGTCCCTCGCTTGCAGCAGATTGGAGTTCGAGGAGTCGTTACTCTGAATGAACCATATGAAACTTTGGTTCCATCAAAGTTGTACAAGGTAAATATTGCATTTTGGTCATCCTTGCATAGGCAAAATTTGTGTTTTTGTGTGATGCAGTTCTTCTGTAAGGTTCAACTATCTGTTCAAAATATTGTAATTTTCGTCTTTTCTGCCTGGTGTATGTATTATCATTAGAAAACTGATAGACTTGTTGAGGAAATGAACTGTTAAACAATCCGGGGCTCTATATCACTCTATCTCATTGTATATAATTTTAATTGTGTACTGCAGTAGGTTTATAAAACAAGTTATTTTGGGCCTCGTTTCTAGTATCTGTGGCTTGTTTTCTTTTGAAGTGATGCATTTCTGTTTACTCCTTTTTTGTTCCATTCAGGCTCATGGGATTGATCACCTAGTGATTCCTACAAGAGATTATCTTTTTGCCCCATCTCTTGCGAACATATGCCTAGCTGTTGATTTCATCCATAGTAAGGATTTCTCTTCATCCCTACTTCCATATTGCTAGCAAATTCATATGTTTCATTGCAAAATGCATCTCCAAATTGCCATGGCATCTGGAGCATTTGATATCAACCAATCATATAATAGAAAAATATGTTGTTTCCCCTTGATATAATTTGACTTACATATGGACATAGCTAAAGCAACAGGAAGCAATAAAATTAAGGGCCTTATCGTAACAGCTAAAACAGGGTTTGCTAAGTAATCAGTGCCTTCAAACAACAGCTAAAACACTCTTTGTTCTTTCTTATTTCATTTCTTTTTTTTTTATTTGTTTTTTTTTTAAAGTAACATAGCACATAGATAAAGGCTAGCTGTAGGCTCACATGCTCTTCTTTTATATGTCTAGTTGGTTATTCTTGAGATAAGTGGTTCATTGATAGATCAAACGAAATTGGTTGTCTAATTTTCCAGATGGCATACGAGGCAAAATAGTGGTTAAAACATGACTAGTGGACATTCAATTGATGAGATTTAGGTCCTTGTGCATAGTCTTTTCTATCACAACTACATGGAAACTGTTTCTTGTGCTCTACTAATCATTTACCAATATAAGGCTTCAGCTTAGTTCATCATGGTAGAAAAATCGTCTGTTTTTGTTAGTGTTCATGTGGGTAGGTTTCCACTATCTGCTTCAGTTTGGTTACTCAGAAGGTTTTCTTGTAAAATAGTTGATGCAGGGGTATGTTTTGGAAAAGTAAAGTGAGGTTTCATGTTGTTAACCAAATGCCAAAATGTGGAATTTACGTTTTGAACTGTGGGAGCACTACACACTCAAAAGTTTTGTAATCTCTGGAAGATTTCAAGTGAATGATAGGTTAAATTTTATGGCCTATTTTATGACTTCTTGCTGGATGTATTATAATAGCATAACCATCTTGTTACATCAGATTACACAAATTGCATCACCATTTACTCTTGCAAGAATCTATCATTTCTAAAGTATGGGCAAATGATGACTTTGGTTCCCGTGTTTGGGTATCTTTCTCATTTATTTCCTTTGAAGCTTGATAAAGACTGGTTTCTATCTTTCAGACAATGCATCCAGTGGGACAATGACATATGTTCATTGTAAAGCAGGAAGAGGACGTAGTGCCACCGTCGTCTTGTGTTATCTGGTAGTTATCATCCTTTGAGGATAAATTGTTTTGTAAATCATGCATTTCGTTGGGGTAGATTAGCTTATCTAGTTCAGTGACAGTTAGCCTATCTAGCTCTGTTTGAACAACATAATGAAGTTTTTGGTCTCTAACATGAACGTTCAAATTCATGCACTACTCTATATTTGCAGATTAAACATAAGAATATGACACCTCTGGAAGCTCTTGAATATGTGCGATCTAAAAGGCCCCGGGTCCTATTGGCTCCTGCACAGTGGCAGGTATGGAATTTCATATAGGTCACCTTTGACATAAATATATTACATGCTTGTGGTTTATTGAAAGATTAAGTTGGTACCTGAATTGGGGTGCACGGATGCTACCTAGTTTATACTGGGATTTCTTCAACATAATTGACTTTATCCATTTGGATATATTTGGCTCCAAAGTTTATGCTTTTCTATGTTTATTGTACTTTGTGGTTCAATTTGATTCTTCAGTGCGCACAAATTGTAATGTACTTCAGCTAGGTACCTTTTATTTCTTGCCTCAACTTTGTACATATGAATTGTCCAGGCTGTTCAACAGTTTAGCAGGGGCAAGTTTGACCTTCCCGCAAGTCAAAGTTCAGACATGTCGAATGGAGTTCTTGTAACTGAAGATGATATAAAAGGTTATTGTGTTGTGGATGATAAATTTCGGAGGAGCTCATCATGTCGTGCACACGCAGGAGGGAAAGCCCTTGCAACTGCTGACGATCTAGCAGATTCCTATATTGTGGCTGGTGGATTCGAGTGGAACCCAAGGCATTCGTTAAGTTGCCCTGCTGGAAGCGATGCAGTTTTGGTAACCGAGGCAGACTTCGAAGGGTATAACGAATTTATGGTTAATTGTAATGACAAAAGCAAGGCGCCGAATCAGAATAAGATAACTGGGACAGTGATGAGGAAGCTCTCTTGCCTCTTTTGTTACTTCATGTCTTTTGCCGGTAGCCAGTCGGTTACCAGCGGGATCCTAGCAGTATGTGCTTTCTAGAGTTTGTGCCAATTCCTCTTTGAATTAGAGTGTGCGCGAGGAATAAAAAATAGAGCATTTTGAAGGAGAATAAACTTATCCTGCAGTCAGTGAAATGCTGCCAGATGATATAGAGTGTAATAGGCAACCGATTATACTTGCATTTTCAGTTGCCCATTTTTGACTGAATTAGAATGCAAGTTTTCCATTGGTCTTTTGTGGTTCTATAAACTTTCAGCCTTTTTGTGTTACTGGCTTTTTATCAGTGAATAGTTTTTCTGCAAACATAGTCAGCACAAGTAGAAGTTCTTTTAAGAAGGTCCATTATAATCTGAGAGCTTGTTTAACAGTAGCTGAAATAGATCATCTATAGGTAATTTTACTGTGATTACTGTGGTCTTCAGTTGTGCTTTCCTTGTTGATGATCTTTCAGACTTCAGCTATTTAGTTACGGTTCGAAATTAAACCAGACCAAATTGAACCGGGCTTTTTGGTCGGTCAACCGATTTGACCCGTTTCAGTTCGAAAATTTTGATCTGAACGCCTGAAAGCGCCATGTCGGTCGCCCGCGTGTTACGAGTCGGCTCGCCCTTTATATACATCGCTAACGAACACCCGAAACCAAATCCCCGATCTCGAGAGCGAGGAAGAGTGCGCCGAAGAGGGGAAGATTGCCGTAGCGGTGGCAAACGAACGTCGACGATCGTCTGATTCTTCGGATCGACGGGCTCGACGCCAGCGTCAGCGTCTGCGTCTGCGTCTGCGTGCCCAGGTATCGGTTCTCCGATCCCTAGCTCTCCATCTCGTTTCGGTAGGTGGACTAGGGAGGGCTTTGCTCGATGCAAGAATCTGATCGTCGCGTTGTTTTTTTTCGTTTGTATCGTGCATTTGGAACCAGGTGGCCGTGCTTCCTCTTGCTGTCTGGTGGATCTGCTCTGCAGCTTATGAATCTGGCGTTTGTTGGTTTCTCTTTGGTTAAGCCTAGTAAAGATTAGGCGATGACTAAATCTGGGTGTGTGGCCACGGTTGTTGTGGGTTTCAAATATCAATATCCTAATTCGTTCTTTTTGGGTTTTTTAGGTCAAAAGATAGTAATGCTCTGTCCTTTGAGCTTCATCATTATCTTTGTGTAGATTTTTTATCTTCATGCTGTTTTTGTAAGCTTAAGCATTCGTAGCTACAATAGCTCTTAGCATAGTAGTAGGAAAACGTATATTGATGTGGTTAACTTTAGATGCAAGGTGGGGAATTTTGTCAGGTGAACGCTTGGGGAATATACTCTTAAGCTGTTTCTCCTGATTTCTTGATAGTGTAAGGAAACAAAAACTAATTGTGTTTGTTATGATGAGTGTATACTTCTTGTATTTTGAAGTAGTAGAGATTTTTTTCTAGTTTTCCAATTTGATAAGGATACAAAAAACTTGGATTGTGTATGATGTTATGCATACTCATTGTTGTTTGAAGCGATAATGGTAAAATTATCTGAAATTTCAAAGCTTTCTTTTTCACAATGAGGAATGTTATGCTATCTTTTTTGTCCGCTTTTGCTTCCTTATCTGGTCAACTTGTCTTAGAGTGGACTTCAGATCATGTAAATCGTTTGAATGTTGTGACCTTTTGTTATAATTTCAACATAGATATATAATAATGCATGAAGCTTATTGACTCTCTTTTGGAGTTTGAAGCATGGATAAGATGGATACTTGACAAGCAAGCTTTATCTAGTTGAGTCGTTATAATGCTAGCAAATTTTTGTTATAATTTCAACATCGCAAACCTATATGGTTTGATTTATAATAATGCATGAAGTTTATTGACACTCTTTCGAGTTTGAAGCATGAATAAGATGGATACTTGGCAAGAAAGCTTGGTCTAGTTGAGTCATTTGGCTAGCACAGGTTGCCATGAAACTGTTACAAAGGGATTAGATACTGGTACAAAGAATTTGTTGGAAGTAACATGAGATTTTGCAGCAGCGAAATTGTTTATAAGCTAGTTAGAGTACAAGATCTTGATTTTTCTCTCAAACTCATGTTCAATTAGTTTAAGATGACCAAAAGATCCTCTGTGATGGATCTACTTATTCTATTTTCACTTTTCCTTGTTCATAAATTTGATGGATGAAACTAGATCAGATACTAGTTTCAAGGGAAGTTTCATTTAACCATAAGATTTTGTTTTATTTGAGACATCCTAATTATTAAGGCATAGTGTGTGTAGTTCATAGGTCAAAAATTCAAGTTTATGTATTATTTGAATGGAAGTAGTAGTAAATTAGAAAAATTAAATAATTGAGCTAGTCTGATAGACAGTCAACATTATTGGATACTTCTTATGGATAGCTTTGCTCATGTTTAGATAAGATTTAGCTAGCAATTGTTGGTTTTCATGAATTAGCAGGAGAGGCTTGAGGATGATTTTTGGCTCTATGTAATTAAGCATTTAAAGCATCTTGGGAGGCTCTATTTATAGGTAATCCTCTTCATATCTCAGTTTGATGGAGGAGCAAATCTAGGTCAGAGAAGAATGTCATGTTGGCATCTAACCTTGTTAGTGGTTGCTCATGTTTAGGTATGGCTTGCGGCGAGTTCCTTGGCTTGCGTTGTAACAGAATGTATATTGATTATGAATCTTGATATCTCTTGGTCTCTTGAGAACCGAATTGTAGGATTTGGATCAGGTTATGGTCAACATGCAAAATTTGCTCAGATCGGGTATTGGGTATGTGTTACAAAATTTCAGTTGTGGTTGTCATTGAGTTGTGTGGTCTGAGATTATGATGGGTGACCCTACTCAATCCTGGTTCATTTATTTGGTGATTTCTACTTCATCGGAAGTAGCATTATGACTATGTTTGAGATTATAAGTGGTTATCTGAGGGTTCCAACCAAGAATTCTCATAATTTTAGTGTTTGACAAAACAAGGACGGTATCCTTCTAACTTAACTGCTTTTTTTTTTTCCAAATTTATATTGTTGCAGCCCAATTCAATCCTCTATGTTCTTCTGTGAATTTAGCTTTCTGGTGGATGTAGAAAATTAGGTTTCAGCTTTAGATTTTGGAGTTCTAAACTCACATAGAAATTGTTATCTTACCAATTTGTAATTCATTGTGCAGAAAAATTTCAAACAAATGTCTAATTGGTTTCTGCTCAACTTCCTGCAATTCTTGAAGTTGGATGACGCTACAGATTTTTATCCAGTGGACCTCATCTCTTCCTTCAAGCATGCAATGGTTTTCCAGACTTATCCTGCTCTTAAAATTCCCACACTAGTAAGTGCAGATGTACGATTATTTCTTTCTTTAGATTGAAGATAGTGCTCGAAAAGATTTCAGACAAAACCTGTTATTGTCATCGCATTGAATTGCTTATAGTTCTTGATTTTGCAGATACGTGTATGATATCTTGGAACTCTCTCTCCCAATCAGTTTGCCATTAGATGAATGCGTGCGTATCCTATCCTGTACTGGTGCTACGCCTTCTGGATGTCGCCAATGATTTCACGAGCCATGGAACCAACCACATGCTCAGCGTCGGGGATGTACGATCGCACATGCCCTACGTAGCCGCTTCTCCAAGAGGCCACATCAGGGTACGTCGGCGCCATGACGAGCAACAGGGATATCCACCGGAAGCATATGTATGATTGGACGCACCGGTCAAACCTGGAGATTTGGATCTACATGCGCAAACGAGTAGGATGTCTGATGCACTCGCATGTTATGAGGTATATATTTGGATCTTTCCTAGTCTGGAATGTCAGAGTTAAAGCTTTTGGTATTATTGATCATCCAATTTAAAATCTTAATCAACCACGTAATCATTTTTGGTATTACTGGTCATCCAGTTTTACTGAAATATTTCTTATAGATAGAAATATTACATATTCTCCGTATCTGACCTCTCTACCTGGAGACATTACACATGATAGGTTCGGAGTTTGGACAGGAGAGAAGCCTGCAACATCCTTACGTTCCCCATCAAACCCCGATCAGAAGCTCCCTTGACTGGATGGACGCAGTACACACAGTGCTTCGAGCAAAAGCCAACGCCGTGTGTTCGAACGAAGGCCAAGGACGCAGCATGAGGGAGGTACACCATGTATCTTATACGCCGCCGCCGCAATGCCCGTCATGCGGAAGAGCGGAGGATACGATGTCGGCGTGCATCGTGTTCTTCGTCGCGCATGGCGACGGCGTCAGATCAGCCTCGGCCTCGTTGTCCGACTTAACGAGTGTGGACGCCAGGGATCGCTGTTCGGCGTCGGCATGCGGCGATGCTCACATGGAAACTTGGGTCCGACACAGCCAGCCAGTATCCAGCTGTGTCGAGGGCCCCAAGACAGCATCTTGCCCACCATATCCAGCCTAGCCATATCTAATCTTTACGCACCTCCCCCCCCGGGTCATATTCCTACTCTCTCTCTCTCGCACACACGTAAATCAATCTTATCATCAAAGCATCGTCTCATGGATTAGATTACTGCCAGAACTCGGGAAATGAGTGCGTTTTAACGAGGCAGAAAACTCAGCAGGATAGAATACCTAAAATCTATTTGGATTCAGAGTCATCTCGGATAAAGTTTATGGTGTTACAGATGTAGGTTAATCCTATCATTGAGCATGAAAACATTGATCGCTGTGAGTTGTGGTGGATGAATGAAGTCCAGGAGATCACGCACTGTGTAACAGTGACCATTAAAACTCCCACATATGCATGCTTCCCGCAGGGACCCGCCATCTTCCCTGCAATCCAGGGGACCCAGGCACAGGTAGAGGATTGCGACATTGTTCTTAATGCCCGCCATGTCCCGTAAACATCACGGGCGCCACCCACTACATCACCAGAGGCCTCTGCCTCCGGCGGATTCCCTCACAGATCGGTGCACACCTCTGAGGGACCAACTTCCACGAAGGGGATGTATTGACTTGGAATCGTGCAACCTAATTATACTGTTCCATTTCTGGGTAAAAAAAGGCAATCGCCTAAATCAGGAATTTTGGCCATTATATTTTAGGATTTTTTTTTCGAGAATTTTCAAGAAAATTCATCCTTAAAGGATTTCTTTTTTCTCAAAAGTGCTCCTATATTCAAATTTTTCAAACAACTTTTTTTTCCTTAATATCCAAAATACTTTCAATCCTCAATTATTTTTTCTTCTTTTTTCATATGTACCGATTCATAAAATGAACTAACCAAGTTACAATATTT